TTTTTTAAAGGCAATAAAAGTACATAAATAGATGGAGAAATATGCATGTACTTAGGTAGGTAGATTAAACATCATGAACATGTCAGTCTTCTTAATTTGATCTATAGATTTATGCAATCCCAATGCAATGCAATGCAATCCCAATAAAAATCCCCATATGGTTTTTGAGGAACTCAGATAGAAGTGTGAAGGGTGCATGTCCATGGTAAGGTGGGTACCAGTCCTACCAGATATGAAGTTACATTTTAGGGTAATAGTGATTAAGGCATTGTGGCACTGGCCCGGGGATGGTCAAAATGACCAATGAAACCAAATGTAAAGCCCTGAAACAGATCCATTCATTTATTGCATGTCACTGGGGAAAAGATAATTTTATGCAATAAATGGTGCTATGACAATTGTGTATCCTTTAGGGAAAAATAATGAAATTGGATCCCTACATATACCTTGAATTATCAGTGTATTAAAGATGTAAATATAAAGGCAGTATCTTTACAAACATGATATAGAAAAATATCACTTTAGAGAAGAATTTCTTGTCTGGGCATGGTGGCTCACACCTGTAATCCTAGCACTTTGGGAGGTTGAGGTGGGAGGATCACTTGAGACTAGGAGTTCAAGACCAGCTTGGGCAACTTAGTGAGACCCTGTGTCTACAAAAAGGAAAAGAAAATTAGCTGGGCATGGCGACCCATGCCTGTAGTCCCAGTTACTTGGGAGACTGAGATGGGAGGATGACTTGAGCCTGGGAAGTTGAGGCTGTAGTGAGCTATGACTGTACCATTGCACTGGAGTAAGACCCTGTCTCCATTTAAAAAAAAAAAAAAAAAAAAAAAAAGGGCTCTCTTGATCATGATATAAATTAAAGTAACTATAAAAAAAGAATAAATTTGACAACTTTCAGATTAAGAGACACTAAAAAAGTGAAAAAACAAACCAAAAACGGTAAGAATATATTTGCAGCATATGTGACTGATAAATAGTATCCAGAATATATGAAGAGCTGCACATCCATGGAAAAAGAACCTGGCTGGGCATGGTGACTTGTGTCTATAATCCCAGCACTTTGGACGGCTGAGGTGGGCAGATCACTTGCCTCCAGGAGTTCGAGACCAGCCTGGCCAACATGACGAAACCCCATCTCTACTAAAAATACAAAAATTAACCTGGTATGGTGGTGCGTGCCTGTAGTCCCAGCTATTTGGGAGGCTGAGGGGTGAGAATCACTTGAACGCAGGAGGTGGAGGTTGCAGTGAGATGAGATTGTGCCACTGCACACAAGCCTGGGCAACAGAGCAAGACTCTGTCTTAAAAAAAAAAGAACCCAATAGAAAAATAGGAGAAAGATACAAATGTGCATTTTAATAAGAGGAAACTAGATGGCCAAGAAACTAATAAAAGATGCTCACACTCATTAGCAAATTTAGATCATAATGTGTTACCATTTTGAGAAGTCTGACAACAAGCACCAAATGTTAGTGAAGATATGAAGTTGGGAGTGTGTAAAACAACTATGCTGGACAGCAATTTGATATTATCTTCTATTACTGAACATGTGTGCATAGGTATAGCCCAGGAATTTCACACTTTGACACCTACCCTAGAGGAGGTGATCTCCCCCTGGTGTGTGCCGAATTCGTTCAGTTGTGTGCCGAATTTGTTCAGTTGTGTTGAGATGTTGAACCCCTTGTCCCTCAGGGTGGCTGGACAGGGCCTGGCCTTTCTGGGGTCCTCAGACCTGTTGCCTTTGATCAAGAGCATGTGTCCTGGTAGGTCATACAAATATCGTGAACAAGGTTGGAAAGCAATTTTCTAGAGAAACTCTTGCTGGTGTGCATTAGGAGATAGGCACATACATATAGCAGTGTTAAGTGAGACCAAAAACATGGTAGATCTGGTATAGGTACTAAATTCTTCTTCTAGGAAAACACAGAGACATTAAGTAATTAGATAAAGGTAATTAGAGAAGGGTTCTAACCTCTTATTTCTTAGTGTCAGTGGTTTCAAGGAGAGTGAGAGGGGCAGAGAAGGTGATAATACTACAACTCCTCTCCACTGTGTTTCCTTTTCCTTTTTTTTTTTTTTTTGAGACTTAAGGCTCACTGTATCGCCCAGGATGGAGTGCAGTGGCATGATCTCAGCTCACTGCAACCTCTGCCTCCCAGGTGCAAGCAATTCTCGTGCCTCAGCCTCCTGAGTAGCTGGGCTTATAGGTGCCCACCTGCGTGCCTGGCTAATTTTTGTATTTTTAGTAGAGATGGGGTTTCATCATGTTGGCCAGGCTGGTCTCGATCTCTTGACCTCAGGTGATCTGCTGGCTTTGGCCGCCCAAAGTGCTGGGATTACAGGCATGAGCCACCATGCCCAGCTAGTGTGTGTTTTCATTGAGATACATTCAGATGGGTGGTGGATGATGATGGGCAAGGCCTACGTTTCGAATCTGAGGAGGTACTTATTGCAGTCTTCTAAGAGGAGTGAATGAGTGAGTGCCGTGTGGGACATCTAGCTGTCTTCCCTGACATTTCCTTTTTTACTCACTGCCAGATAAAGAACTTTACAACAGGGAGATAGTATCTGGAAACCAAGTTTAATCAGAACAGCCGGGACTGCCCATCATGTCCTGTGTATTGAGTTTGGCTGAGAGCACCCTGCTGTTATCCTTGGTCTTGTTCATCCTGAACTAACAGCATGTTCCGTCTTCTGTGGCTTGTACAGTCATGGTCTTCTTTTTGGAGCTTTCATTGTTGGCTACTCTGCCTCTGTCTCAAGGACAGAGGTAAATGTGGGCCACAGGGAATGGGGGTGATTTTCAAGCATTTCTCGGTGATGTGGCTTTGATGATCTCTCACACTGAAGCTGCCCCAATCCCATCTCATCATCCTTCCCTTCCAAAAATCTGATACCACCCACGAACACCTCATGGCCATTCCAACTCTTTCCCTTCCCCACTTCACATGTCCTGCTTCTGTCGGCAGCATCATTTTGGCCTCCTGGCTATCTAGGCTTTATTCTTCGGTGTTTTCTTTGCTGTGTCCTTTTCTACCTGATGTGGAACTCTGTTCTATTATTTTAAAATTAGTGTATCTTGGATCCCCTTCTTCCCATTCCCATGCAGCTGCCCTTATCTAGGCCCTCATCTGCAAGGAGTGAGAGGTGATAGAAGGGACAGCTGTCACCATGACCCCGCTTAAATTTCTCATGGCTGAGCTTTGAACTTTGAACCTGGAATCATACAGCATAGAATGTCTGTGTTGGAAAGAGACCATTGAGGTGAAACCTCTTATTTCATATTTGAGAAAATAAGGCCTGCAGAGGGATGGTGACCTATCCTGGGTCTACACAGATGGTGGTAGAGGAACCCCATATACCAACGGATTAGTCATCCTGCTCTCCTTAACTTGCCACATTACCTCATAAGCCTTCCTTTGAGTTTACAGCCAGTTTTATACTTCGAGGATTATATCTTAAACACATTTGTATCCTTTGAAATGATTAGCAAGCTCCTCAATACTTGTTAAATGGAAGTCAAAATGTGTCCTTGCATGAAACATGCTGTGTATCCTATTCCTCACTATCTAGCTAAATCTTGCCTGGCTTTGAAGAAGATGCCCAGCTCAGGTCCTGGCTCTTGCTTTGAGTCATGGTCACATTGCTCCCTTTCTTTCTTTTTTTGAGACAGGGTCTCACTCTGTCACCCAGGCTGGAGTGTGGTGACATAGTCATGGCTCACTGTAGCCTTGAACTCTTGGGCTCAAGTGATCCTCCCACCTCAGCCTTCTGAGTAGCTGGACTACTGGCACAAGCCACCTCGAGTAGCTGGACTACTGGCACAAGCCACCTCACCTTGCTAATTAGAAAAATTTTTGTACAACAGCATCTCATTATGTTGCCCAGGTTGGTTTTGATCTCTTGGGCTCAAGTGATCCTCCCACCTCAGTCTCTTGAATAGGGGGGATTACAGGTATGAGCCACCATGTCTGGCAGATTGCTCCCCTTTTCTGACCTCCCAGGCTCTACTTGACTTATAAAACAGCCATCTTACATGTACTTAGTAGTTTACAGTTTATAAAATGCATTTCACGTAATGTACCCTTTAATCCTTCCAATAATCTTGCTAGATAAATATTCCCATATTGAGGAAACAGTAGGGGGAGGCTGTCTGGCTCACCACAGGACACATAGCTGGGAAGGAAGTAGCATAGTTCAGGTCTTTTGACTTGAAGCCCCTTTCACTTTTGATTTCTTGTGCTGGCTGGTCCACATGGTGTACCAGACGTTTTTCTCCCTGATAATATTGTCTTATCCGTCCTTTTTTGTAAATGAGTACATCATTCCACCTAACCCTGATTACCAACTTTTTTAAGGGAGTAGCTGGATCATATGTTTCTTTCATGACATTCGTAGTTGCTAGCACAGTAATGGATAGGTAGTAATTGCTTACCAAATACTGTTGAGTTGGATGTAAATATCGTTTAATTATCAGAAAAGCACAGCTATCAGTGGAGTCCCAAAACACTTTTTGAGTCACTCCTAAATAAAATTGGCAGGGAATGGAGGGAACTAGGGGAAGGAAAAGGCTGTTAGAGAAAGTAGATGGTAGACACAATTAGCATTTGAGTGACAGCTGGCCAGTTGTCTGTCCAGTGGTGAGGGGTAGTGGAGAAGCAATACACAAAATGAGACTCTTCAGGAAATATGCAACTGTACTGAAGAGATGAGACACATCCATGAGGTGGGAACGGAGTACTTAAAAGTGGCAGATGACCTGTACAAGTTTAAAGCATTCATTCATATTAAGAAACACTGATTAAAGGAATACCCTGAGGAGAATGAATTGATGAGAACAGGCTTCCAGGGTGAAAATGGAAGGGACAGAGATGCAGTTTGGTTTCAGTTTATAATCATTCCGTTAATTACTGGAGCCATGAGAAAGGAGACATAAGTAGGTGAGGATGTTGACATTGAAACAACTTCTGTTCCCTTTCTTCTACTATGTGCAGTCAATAGGACCTCAGCCCTGAGCCCTGGAAGTCAGAAGTGAAGGAAAGACAAATAATTGCTCATGTCATCTGTGCATGGAGGTGTGTAGTGATGAGCAACTTGCTGGATTTTCTGGTACTTCTTTAACATATTTTTGTGCATTTTCTTCATAAATCAAAGAGATGCTTTAAAAGTTCTAATACTTGGACAACTAAGTTGTGTTTCCAACTCTGCCTTTTCCCAAAGGGTCACAAAAATCCGTAGACATAAGCCCCAGGTTTTGTTTTGGAAAATCATGCTGCATTTTTTATCTTTATGTTTGGGCTGCTCCTGAGTTCATAAATATTTTGTGCCTGAATGAAATGTAAAACTGCTTCCACTATAATATATGTGAAAAATGTCCAGTTTCCTAATAGTAGAAGCCAACACATTTTCTTTTGTGAGTTTCTGTCTCCTACAGAAAACGTAAGATGGAGGGCTTTTAGATTAAAAGTAATAGAATTTTGATATCTGTTCCTGCCTGTGTCAGAATTTTTCACAATTTAGAACTGTATTTCAAGAGCTAAAGGAATGTATATCTAAAATGCTTACAAGCATCAGAAATTAATGGAAATTATTTCAAATTAATTAAAAATCATAATTTCTATACGGAATAATTTTATCATGTTCTATACTGTAGATTCTAAAAGAAAAATAAAAAACTTTCATTTCTTGGACATTCGTATATGGTTTTAGAGTGATACATCTAGGAAAATAGATTAGTGCCATTGAGGCCTATCGTTAGATGTCTTGGTTTATTTTTAATGCTTGATGGCTATATAGCAATTATATTTTTTATGTGATGAGCAAGTATATATAGGAAAGTAATAAAAGGAATATCATCATAATATTTCTTTCTTTAAAAAATAGGAAGGTATTTCTTGAGGTCAAAACTCAACAAACCTTTCCAGCCAAATTTGTTGGTATATAAAGGCTAACTTTATACTTTAAAATGTGGACATAATAAAATGTGATTGTAGAATTATGAGATTGATTTTCATGTGTGACTTCTGAAAACTTTTTTTACTACTTTACAGTTATCTGTCTCATGCAGAATCTCATTTCACCCTCATTTAAAAAATTAAGTGTAATGTCCCTTGTTTTTGTGATTTCCCCTGAACACTCATAGTTTCTGAAGACTTACTTAGTGCTTATCAATTATCCATGTCATAAACCGTGGGTACTTACGTCTTCATGGTTTATGCTCCTCTTGTCTACAATTTCCTTTATCCTCTTGGTTTGTTCTCTTGCTGATTCATAGTCTCTTTGCTAACACACAGTCTTTATTTCTGTGTTAGTAAATCTGCATTGAGGTTTATTCCCCGACCTTTTTTTTTTTTTTTTTTTTTAAACAAGGCTCTTGTTCTTTCTGAGCCACCCTCTTGCCTGCTTATTTTAGCCCTTATGTTCTTAACCTCTAGGCTTCAAATGTCTTTCTCAGAGGCATGTTAAGAAAATAGGAGCTTTGTTTCCATGGATAGCCTTATCACAGGCTTAGCTGAGGACAGAGACAAGGTATGGCCTTGGGGGACTAAGTTCTAACCTGGATGCTTGCCTTTCCATCTGCCTAGTCAGGAAAAGGAAACTTAGTGAAGGAACCTAGTTGGAATAGTTAGGGAGCTTTTCTTTTTCTTTTTCTTTGAGATCGTGTCTTGCTCTGTCACCCAGGCTGGAGTGCGGTGGCACTGTCTTGGCTCACTGCAACCTCTGCCTCCTTAGTTCAAGCAATTCTCCTGCCTTAGCCTCCGGAGTAGTTGGGATTACAGGTGCCCACCACCATGCCTGGCTAATTTTTGTATTTTTAGTAGAGACAGGTTTCACCATGTTGACCAGGATGGCCTCAAATACCTTACCTCAGGTGATCTGTCAGCCTTGGCTTTCCAAAGTGCTGGGATTACAGGCATGAGCCACCACACCTGGCCAGTTAGGGAGCCTTTCTTTTCTTTTTTTAATGGACAGAGTCTTGCTCTGTCAGCCAGGCTGGAGTGCAGTGACACGATCTTGGCACCTCCGCCTCCTGGGTTCAAGTAATTCTCCTGCCTTGGCCTCCCAAGTAACTGGGATTATAGGCGCATGCCACCATGCCCAGCTAATTTTTGTAATTTTAGTAGAGCTGGGGTTACACCATGGTGGCCAGCTGGTCTCGATCTCTTGACCTCATGATCCTCCTGCCTTGGCCTCCCAAAGTGCTGGGATTATAGGTGTGAGCCACCGTGCCTGACCAGGGAGTCTTTCAAACTGGATGGGCAGAATAGGGGAAAGCAAGTTGATCAAATAAATTGCTGTAACTTGGAAGGTTAGAAAATTTCTCTGGCTTTTGATAAAGCAACAACTACTATGGGTCTTTTTTTGGTATATATAAATAGATACGTATATCTACATCTATCTATCTATATCTATAGCTTTTTGGGTTTTTGGCTGCATGGATGAATTATTATTTTATTTTCTATATTTTTTTGAGATGGAGTCTCGCTCTGTCACCGAGGCTGGAGTACGGTGGTGCAATCTTGGTTCACTGCAGCCTCTGCTTCCCGGGTTTGAGCCATTCTCATGCCTCAGCCCCCAGAGTAGCTGGGATTACAGGCACGTGTCCCCACGCCTGGCTGATTTTTGTATTTTTTAGTAGAGATGGGGTTTCACTATGTTGGCCAGGCTGTTGAACTCCTGGCCTCAACTGATCCACCTGCCTTGGCCTCCCAAAGTGCTGGGATTACAGGTGTGAGCCACTGTGCCCGGCAACATGGATGAATTATATAGTGGTGAATTCTGAGATTTTAGTGTACCCATCACCTGAATAGTGTACGTTGTACCCAATATGTAGTTTTTATATCCCTCACCACTCTCCCCCAGTCTTTTCTAGCTACTGTTACTGTGGGCTCTAATGAACTGTGTTGTCTGCCCAGATGTCCTCTTGAATTCTTGGAATGCTATCCTCCGAGACTCCCAGATCCATAAACGACTCTTCCCCTTTGTTGACGTGCTCCTTAGTCTCTTGGTGTTTGACCTTGATATGACTTTGAATACCTGTCTGAAAACTCCCTTTGTACTTAATCCCTGTGGATTTGAGTTGATTTTGTGCTGCCTTGACATAAAGCCAGGTAGGGAATGCCAGGGGTTTCTCTGTCCCCTCTACCTCCTGCCCCTTTCTCCTTCCCTGGAACTTTGTAATGGTTTTAAGCAAGGGTACTTTCATGTAAAACACTCCTCATGACACAGCCATTAGCTGAGCCTAATACTAGAAATTTCTTCTGAATTCATAGAAAGAAGAAAATCTGAAGTTTTACTTTGATCAGTATTTAAAACAATTTTTGGACCTCTTTAGGCTCTTTTGTGCTATAATTTAGTATGAAGTGACTTCTGATACAGCTCAAAATAATATGTTCTCAGTTATCTTAAAGTTGCTATACCAACATTTCATTGTGTTCTTCAAACCATACCTTGACTTTTGAGGGTTCCGTCCATATATAGATTTTTGAGTCCATCAGGACTAATCTGGTCATATTTTCTGATGGCCTCAAAGTGTCCATTTAGATACAAGAAAGGATCACCAGTGTAGCTGGTTACAAACATCCTCCCAACAGTTTTCTCTCTTGCGCCTTTAAGGACACTAGTTTCCTATCCCATGGTCAGTGCTGCTTCCCTTTTGGGCAATTTGGCCTAGATTTTTCCAGGACTCATTTCCAGGACACATTCCCTGGGAATGACCCAGTTATGGTTGTTCTCAAGACTCTTCCTATAGTCTCATTTCATTCTCTCAAGCTTTAGATAGCTCCTCTTGCAGTTCTCACCAGGGACACCCAAAGCATTTCAGATCCCTCCCAGATAAGAAGTGTGTTAAGGTGGTATAGGAGACGCTGAATAAAGAGTGTGGCAGACCTTACAAATGAGCTGTCAACTGAAGTGGTTAGCCAGAGAGGAGGTGTTTAGGGACAAAGCCAAAGGCAAAGGAGATGATTCAGAGCTGCATTGTAGGTAGACCTTTCTGCAATGATTTTCCAAATGTGTACAGTGAGATTCTTCTTATGTCCTTGGTGGGTCTATGGGCGTTGGTGTCTTAACCTTCACTCCTTTCATTAGAATCATTCTGCTGCCACCTATTTTATATGTTGGGGTGCCATGTAAGATTTTATTTGAAGAAACAGTTTTATTGCTAAAGAAAGTTTGCAACCAACTGGACCAGAGCAGTTTTCTGAGGCAATGGAAGGTTTGTTGCAATGACATTATGTAGGTTTCCTATGCAGAAACTGGCTGTGAAGACACTCATCTGCTATGAAAAAGAAGTAGCCCAAACCTAGAATAGCCCTTTCATGCTTCTAGAAGTCAGACAATAAACTTCCCAAAGAATAATCTCTATAGTGATCTGTAATAAAATGTTATGATGCAACATATTGTGTTCGTTCTTTATTGCTCAATTGACTGTTGTAACAGGATGAAAGCAAACATGTGCTGAAACATGTGCCTGAGCCTTGACTGCTGTTTATTGAATGTAGTTCACACGTGCTTCCTTAAATAATTTTACAACAATAGACAAATGAATCCATTCTGATTAAGAAAAGGAGAGAAGTCTAGTGCAAATTACAGGCTTCTCAACTAATAATTATAGGAATTCCAAATAACATGTAAATGCTAATGGCAGACGTAAATAACTTAAAGTAGCATAAATAAACAACTTGGAGGTCTCTAAATTTGGTATATAACTTATTTGACCGTATGCTTTTTTAAATTCCAGCTTTTAAAAAACATAATAGAAAGTCCAGGTGCGGTGGCTCATGTCTGTAATCCCAGCACCTTGGAAGGCTGAGGTGGGCAGATCACTTGAGGTCAGGAATTTGAGACCAACCTGGCCAACATGGTGAAACCCCATCTCTACTAAAAAATACAAAAATTAGCTGGGCGTGATTGCGCAGGTCTTTAGTCCCAGCCACACGGGAGGCTGAGGCATGAGAATCACTTGAACCCGGGAGGCGGTGGTTTCAGTGAGCCCGAGATCACGCCACTGCACTCCAGCCTGGGTGACAGAGTGAGACTCCATCTCTCTCTCTTTTTTTTTTTTTGAGATGGA